TAGGACAATGGGAAAGTATCGATAACTGGGCAATCTCAGAAAAGACTAAAGGGGAGAGTTCTTTGTTCTTGTAACTGGTTTTTTACTTCGGAATTATTTTTAAATGAAATGCTAAAAATCAATGAATAATCTTAGAGGAAATAGGTATTTTTTTTCGGATTTGGGTATAGAGAAAGTACCTTTGAACTGAAGATGATAAGATCCCTGTGACCTGCTGCGAAAGTGGAGGAAACATCCGCTTGTCCTTTTGCTAGACATAGAATTACGGCTTTTAGGGAATCTATAAATCTCAGAAGGGAATTATATGGATGGTTTTGCAAACTTGAACCATAAAGCTTTTCTGGGTTAGTCCTGAGGGAAATTTATTTCAGTTTAGGCTAGCAATACCTCATAAACTTTCTAGGAATCTCAATGTGAGCTTCAAGGTGAGTATAATATGAATGCTTTGCTTTAGTATTTTTCATGACTATAGAATTTGGAAGGAGTAGTGGGGAAGTCATTATGAATGTGTCATTTTATGTTAACTTTTTTCATTTGATTTAGAAACCATTAGTACAATGTTTTTGAAGTAATTTTTTTCTCCTCTATTAAGTGTAGTAATACTGGATGTGACTTCAGCTCTTAACATTGCCTGCTTTTCAAAATTCTGTGGTAGATTTCCAGTATAAATTGAATATTGCTTTCTAGAAAACTGCTATCTGAAAATATAGTTTGATAAATTAATTATGTTAGGTAGTAGGAATTATGATGGTGGTTCAAACCCACCAGCTGCTCTGTGAGAGAAAGATAAGGCTGTGTGGTCCAGTAAAGATCGACCGTCTTGTTGTGTAGGGTCACTGTGTGTCGGACTTGACCTTATGGTGGTGGCTAAGTTGGTATAAGCAATGTGTCATTGCTCTCTAACTGCTTTCAAGGTTTTCTTGGAAGTAATCTTAATGGAGGCAGATTGCTAGACCTTTACTTCTGCAGTGCTATTGGGTGGATTTGAACCATTCACTTTTGGGTTAGTAGTATTAGGGGTTGGGAAGTGGTAGGCCTGAGTAGCCTTCTTTTGCTGGATTGGGTGTGGGTGGCGTAAAACACCCTCCTGCTATGTTGATCCCAGTTCTGGGTTCCCTAACCAGCCTTCCCTTTCCCTTTAATGCCTGTCTTTGGTTATCTCTCATTATTTCTAAGTTCTATGTAGAATCAGCACTGGACTGCTAATTACAAGGTCGGAGGTTCAAATGCACCAGCTATACCTAGGAAACTTTAGGTTACTATGAGTGAGAATCGATTTGACAGCACTTAACAATGACATGTATGATAAGGGAGTTCTGGTGTAGTGTTGTAGGATAAGCACTGGATTGCTAATTGCAAGGTTGGTGTTTCAAACCCACTAGCTGCTCCTCAGAAAACCTGAGTTGGAATCCACTCAATAGCACTTATCAACAACACTTAACCACAAACACATATTTCTTCTAACAGGCAGGAAACAAGGAGAAATGAGATTATACCATCTTGTACCAGTTGATGTTGTTGTTGTTAAGTGCCATTGAGTCAGTTCCGACCCATAGCGACTCTGTATAGGGTTTCCAAGGAGCAGCTGGTGAGCTTGAACCGTCGACCTTGCAGTGCAAATGGCTTTGTAGTCTGACGCATTAGCCCACAGCGCCATACCAGGACTCCTTGTACCAGTTAGCCACTGTTTAAACTTGGATGTGTGTGGTACTTCACTGGTCTAACTCTGATTGCCCTCAAAAGGCAAGAGAAGGCTGAAAAGTCCATATCTCGAAGAGTTATTAAGTGTAAATGAGTTCATGAGGTAGTACTGGAGATGCTGTATATGCTCAGTTAGCTAATGATTGCAAGGCTGTTTAGAACAGGACTGTTTTTAACTGCAAATAGAGACTCAAATGAGTCCGAATGCAGTGTTGTTGAAAAGGTTCGTATCATCAGTGCAACTGAATGTAGCTGTTAAAAAGGAAAAAATGGGACATGGAAGGATGCTCCAAAGTTTTGTTAAGTTGGAAAAATAGTTGTAAAATGGTATGATTCTTTTATTCCCTACAGATACACATGCACAGACATACACACAAAGGGGCTTTAAAAAGCTTGTGGAACTTAAAGGTAATAGAATTTTGATCTGAACAATTTGAAGCCCCCTCGTATGTGTATATATGTGGGTCTTGTACAGTTGCTTCATATATGTTTAAGAAAAGAGTTGGAAATAGAAATTGAAAATCCTCTACGTGTCTAGTTAGTCTGCTGGGGAAGAAGTCCACTTCGACTTTTTACATTGTATATTTCCTTATTCAACCTGGATGCTGAGCAAATAATCCAAGAAGCTGGGTTCTATGAAGAAAAATGTGACATTGGGATTGGAGGAAGACTCATTAACAACCTGTGATATGCAGATGATACAACCTTGTTTGCTGAAAGTGGAGAGGACTTAAAACATTTACTGATGAAGATCAAAGAGCACAGCCTTCAGTATGGATTGTACCTCAATGTAAAGAAAACAAAAATCCTCACCACTGGACCAATAAACAACATTCTTATCAACGGAGAAAAGACTGAAGTTGTCAAGGACTTCATTCTTCTTAGATCAAGTATCAACACTCATGGAAGCAGCAGTCAAGAAATCAAACGACGTATTACATTAGGCAAACCTGCTGCACAAGACTTTTTTTAAAGTGTTGAAGAGCAAAGACGTCAGCTTGAGGACTAAGGTGCACCTGACCCAAGCCATGGTGTTTTCCATAACCTCATAGCATGCAAAATCTGTACAGTGAATACGGAAGACCGTAGAAGAATTGATGCTTTTGAGTTATGGTGTTGGAGGAGAATATTGAAAGTACCATGGACTGCCAAAAGAACAAACATATTTGTGTTGGAAGAAGTGCAGCCAGAGTGCTCCTTAGAGTACTCATACTTCAGCCATATTGTCAGGAGGGACCAGTTGCTGGAGAAGGATATCATGTTTGGGAAGGTGAAGGGTCAGAGAAAACAAGGAAAACCCCCAGCAAGATGGACTGGCAAAGTGGCAGCATCAATGGGCTCAAGTGTGGCAACAATTGTGAGGTTGGTCCAGGACCAGGCAGTCCTTCGTTCTGTTGTGCATAATGTTGTTATGAGTCGGTACCGACTCGATGGCTCCTAACAACAACCACAAGAACAATACTTCCTTATTGTTTCAATAGTTTTGGGTAAGGAGCCTTTTTATTTTCATTAAGGAAAAGATGAAAAAAAAAAAAGATAAATCCTTATGTACATATGAAAGACCTTTATATGTGCGTGAGTATATATGTACTACTTTAACAAGAAGTTGTTGGTGATAGTTGTGTGCCGTGGAGTTTGTTCCAACTCATATCGACCCTGTATTGGGTTTTCGTTATTGGTGATAACTTGATATTTACTTCATTCAGTGGAAATTAGCATCCAAATACAACACCCATTAGTTCCATGACTACAAAGATTCTTCTCACGTCTGTAGTTTTGTCAAGTACAGTTGGCTTTAACCATTTCTTTTTGACACTGCAGGATTTTATGACCATTGAAGAAACAGAAATCTATAACTACACAACTCATATCGTGTAATTAAAAGCGGCTTTAATCATCTTACTGTTTATAAAAAAAAACAATTGATTTGGACATTTTCAATGTGCTTCCTAGGATGTTAATGTTCAGGTGATTGGTTAGAAGAAAGTCAGGTGGTGTGGTCTGTGTGCATACTTAAAGACTCATGATAAATGTCTATGTAGTTTTAACTTTACTATTTAAATTTCATAAGGACAAAAAGCTACATGTTTTCATATGCATATTCTTAAAAGCATGTCTTCCATATGGATGGTGCTTGCACAGTGAATCTACAGTAGGAGAGAAAAGTCGCGCTGCAGGATAATGTGCTGGACCGCAAAGTCAGTTTGAACTCTAAGGTAGGCAGTTCAAACCCACCAGCCACTCCTCTGAAACCCTTTACAGGGTTGCTATGGGTCAGAACGGACTCGATGACACTCAGCAAGAGTTAACAACATATACAAAGCAGAATGGGAGTTACTTGCGATAGTGTTAGAGGGGCTGGAGACCCCAGAAGAAGAGATCATTCAGATATCTGGATGCTACTGCATGTGTAGGCTAGAGCCTCTTGAGTCCACATTTGTCATCGAAGGTACCACTGTGTGTACCACTGCTGCCACTGATCAGAAGCCACCTCTGCTACTTCTGTTAGAAAATTGCAGGTCTGGTTACCTGACCGCCCCGATTGCAGATGCCATGTGCAGAATGTCTCTCTTCCTCTTGTCTTCTTATCTCTCATAACAGCCTGCTGGTGGAAGCTAACAGCAACCTAGCTTTTAAGGGAGGCTTGGAAGTTTAGTTTTTAGATTTCTGTACTCATCACAGACAACTCTGTAGAAGTGGAAATGGGGTTAAGAGCGAAGCGATTAAGGACAAATACATTGTTAACCTTTTTTTTTAAATGTATGAATTAGCCTAAATTTGTTAATGGCAATGATTATGTGTATTTTTGTATTTGTAATAACAATAGTTCATTTCAGCCTGTCACATAGTTGTTGTTAAGTGCCATCAAGTTGGTTCCGATTCATAGCGACCCTGGCTGGAAATCTTTGTGAGAGCAGAAAGCTTCATCTTTCTCCTGAGCAGCAGCTGGTGGGCTCAAACCACCAACCTGTGGTTTGCAGTCCAGTGCAAAACTTTTTTTCAGGTGATTTGTATATTTAGTAATGTACGTGAGAATAACTTTTCCTTTTACACAGAGAAAATTGGTCTTTTAACTACTTCATAATTTATGCTCGTTTTGGAAAGATAGTCGCATTAAATTTTAATCCCAGCACCTAATATGGTACCTGACATATTTTAAATGTTTCTTGATTAAATGAATAGTGATACACTGTATTTAATTACAAAAGTGTGGTGTTAGAATTGGTAGTTTTGGTGATATGTTAGTTATGTTTCTTACTACTCCTACAAATTAATGATTTATCTTCTTTCTCTTACAGCGTCTAACACTTGGCTTGTTCCAGAAACTAAAGGAGCAATTGTACAAGGTGGATATGGCCATACTAGTGTGTATGATGAAATAACAAAGTCCATTTATGTTCACGGAGGCTATAAAGCATTACCAGGCAATAAATATGGCTTGGTAGATGATCTTTATAAGTATGAAGTTAACACTAAGACTTGGTGAGTAGATTGGGTAGAAGCATGATAAGATATTTGATACTAGTTCTGTTTCATAAGGGGTATAGTTAATATTCCCAAGGAGAACTTCTTGAACTTTCAATCATTTTGTCAACTAACACCATACTATTATGTAACGAAGATACAAAATAATACGTTTTCTCTGTTGCCTCCATTACTGAAAATGATTGTTTTGAAAACAGTCTCCAACCACATAGTGTTCTGTATACATTAATATCATTTTCATTCAGATAAACAATTTAGTTTGACAAGATAACTTTGAGCTTTGAAGTTACCTGTCTGGCGATTTGTTCTTTGTACCCATATTTGATTAACATTTAAAAATGACAAAAGGTATTTCTTCAATTTCAGCACCTAACTGGGTGTGAAATACAAAATTTGATGGCATTTAAGTAGATTTTTCTTAAAATAATTTTTATAAACAATGCTTCATTGCACATACTGCTCTGGTCTTTTCATGCACACATGGCAGGGTTTTCCAGGAGTTACACTTAGAAGTGAAATTGCTGTGTTTGAGGTTGTCCACATCTTCAGCTTAACTGCATGTCACCTAATTGCTCTTCAGGTCACTTGTGGCAATGTGTCCTTCCGCAAGTAGGGTGTGAGCAGCCCGATTGTTCATATTCTCTCCAACACTTGATAATTGCCCTATTCTTTACTTTTTGCCAATGCTATGGGTGCAAATAGTGTTCTATTGATATTTTCATGTTCATATGCCTGTTTACTATTGTGAATAAGCACCTTTTTGCATGTTCATTAAGACATTTGTGTTTCCTGGTCAATGAATTGACTGTTCATATCTATAATAATCCCTTTATGTTTGAAATTTTATGCATTTTTTTTGTTTACTGATGTTTCTGAGTAAATAAGTTTTAAAATGGAATTTTTGTTGTACTTACTTCCTTCAATGGAAGATGGAAAATGACTCCTGTGTTATTTTTAGATACCGTAATGCTCTAACTTCTTTTGAACTTCTAGCATGGACATTAACGCTAAATATTTAAGTGAAATATAGTTATCCCCTAATTTTGATAATCCTTGCTCCCTTCACTTTCGAACATATATTCTAACTTTGATTAAAAAAAAGAATGGAATTTTAAAAACTGAAGTCTTTTCTTTCAGGTGATTTTATTAAGTCTCCTTATTTCTCGTTAGTCTAAAAAGTGAAATGTTCTTTATATTTTTAAATATTCTGTATATTTTTATAAATGCTAAAATAGATTAATTTTGTATAATCTGTACATGGCATTTTACTTCCCATTTTCTGACGTATTACCTTTCACTTTTTGCATGAGGCTTTGTGGTTTAGTAATGTGGTGGTGGTTATGTGCCATGAAGTCAGTTCTGACTCACAAAGACCCTGGGTAGGGTTTCCGAGGCTGTAAATCTTCACAGGAGCAGAAAGCCTCCTCTTTCTCCCACGGAGCAGCTGGTAGTTTCAAACTGCTGACTTTGAGGTTAACAACCTGACTCATAACCACTACGCTACCAGTGCTAGGCACTGTGTATTTGTTTAACATAGTTTTGTGTGTATTTTAGATTGTATTATACCAATAAGGAAGGATAATTACTTCTGTATGAAGGAAGCAGCAGTTTACAGTAATAATAATGCCTAGGGAAGGATTTAAAAAGAGACCAGAACTAGATGTTATTAGGGTAAAGTGAAAATGAGAGATTTAGTTGAATTACTTGTAGGAAGTTTGTAACAATTTTTACATGCTTCTTTATCTGAACATGTCCCTTATTGAACTTTTGTATCAAAGAGTATGATTATCAATCTTAACAATTTTGAATGATGCAAAAGCAGTATTGATTACTTTTGCTTCTGAGGAGAATTTAATAAAATAATTTATAATTTTTGAGAGCCTTATTAGAAATGTGTTATAGATACAGTGTTTTGTTTTTTAATGGATCCTGAATTGTTTAAATAGATTAAGAAAAACATCAGGTAGCACTAAAATGATTTATTTATTATTATTAAAGTTTACAGCATTTTCATAGTTTTGATGCTTTTAGTTAATTTTTTGCAAGTTTGTTTATATATATGGATTGTACTGTATGGCAAGTTTGTCAGATTTAATATAATTACATTTGCCACTGTTATGTGTTAGGTATTCAGACTGATACGTAATTTTTATTAATGCAGAACTTGTTGTTTTTTTAGTTGATATGTAAGATAGGATCATTTATTGAGATATTAATAAACATGTTTTTAGAGCAATTTGTATTTTGCAATGGTGAATCAAGATTATTTTGCTATGATGCTTACATTGAGTAAAATTAGAAATCATATCTGTTTACAGCATCATAGAACTCTCAATGGGAAGTGAGAATTTTCAGGTCAAGATCAATCTGGGAGAGGGTGAATGTTAAGGGAGCTAAGACTGGTGTTTCATCAGATAATTGCTAATTCTGAAAACTGAGAGAGAACTGTGCAGAACATTCATCAGATTCACTATTAAGGACAAGAACTGGATTTCCAGGAAGAGAGGCCATGGTAAAAGCGTACAGACTTAGTCCAGTCCCTGAAGTTCTAAACTAGACTTGTAGGTGTGAGTCCACTTTTGAACCATTACAATCTCTCACTGAATTTTCGTGAATTGATCATAGTCTAGCAAACTGGCAGAAGCAAAACTCAATCATTTTGAGGAAGATAATAGATCTTTAAATTGTTTCTTTAACACATCATGTAAATTATCTGGTGCAAAAAAAAAAAAAAAAAAGACAACCAGATTGAGGAAATGCCAAGAGATGAAAAAATCTTACATGTGTATTTGTAGCATACATATAGGGTAATGATTTTTAAGATATTCATGTATGTCAAGTTAATTCCAACTCATCAAGATCCTGTAGAATAGAGTAGAACAGCCCGTAGGGCTTCTAACATTGTAATCTGCATGGAAGCCAACTTGTATCATCTTCTCCAATGACATGACACTGAATTTGAACTACCAAAATTTTGGTTAGCAACCAGGCACTTAACCACTGTGTTCGGGTATAAACTATACAATAATTATGATTTTTTTTTTATGTTTAAAATACCAGGTAGAGAATATTAGGTGAGATCTGGAAATTCTTACTAAAGAATGAAATTGAACTAATAGATTTTAACAATGGAGTGCATTAAGATTTCGTGGATTGGTTTAAGAGCAGATTAGATGCAGTGGAAGGAGGGCATTAATTAAATGAAAGATATGTCAGAAGGAAATAATCAGACTGAAGCAAAGAAAAACAAAAGAGGGGAGAATGCAATGGCATGTAGAATGTTATAGCATGCATTATCAGTGGAGTCCTGGTGTGGTGCTGTGGGCGAATGTGGCAGACTGCAAAGCCATTTGAACTGCAAGGTCGGGGGTTTAAGCTCACCAGCTGCTCCTCGTAAACCCTATACAGGGTCTCTATGGGTCGGAACCAACTCGACAGCACTTAGCAACCACAAAGAAGTAAGGAAGTGAAAAAAGAATTTAGTGTACTATCTGAAGAAGTATTGACTGAGAATTCTTGAGAAGTGACAAACGGCATCAACTTGCAGATTAAGACGTCCCATGACCACCAAGTGGAATAGGTACAAAGAAACTCACACTTAGGAACAGTATAGTAAAAACTTCCAAAATCAAAATATAAAGAAGAACGTGGAAAAGCCGTCAGAAGTGGGAAAAAGCATACTTCTTTCAAAGGAACAATAGAGTGACTTGAAAATTATTCTTAAACAGAAATAATGGATTCTAGAAGATAGAGTGTCTTCAAATGACTGAAAGAAAATAACCATCAGCCTAAAATTCTACGCCAAGTGAAATATTCAAAACTGAGAGCCTAATAAAGACATTTCAGAAAAATATAAACAGAGGACTTGCTATTAGACCTGAAATAAAGATTACTATTGAGGTGGAATGAAAATGAGCTCAGATCCTGGAATGCATATACAGCAATGAGAGGGGTAAAGTAAATAATTGTTGATTATGTGAAATTATAATAGTCATGATAATGAAGGCTTGTTGTTGTTGTTGTGAAGTGGAGTCAAGTCGATTCTGACCCGTAGCGACCCTGTGTAGGGTTTCCGAGGAGCAGCAGCTGGTGAGCTTGAACCGCTGATCTTTCAGTTCAAACGACTTTGCAGTCTGGTGCATTAACCCACAGCGCCACACCAATGAAGGCTTAAATACATGCAAACTGAAGTGCATAGCAATAGCATATAATTTGTTGAAGAAATTGCACTGAAAAATTAGAAAATATTTTGTACTGAGGGATACTGATATATGTGTGATGCAGCTAAAAGGAGCATTTATATGTTAAAAACTTTTAAACATAATTAATAATTTAATAATTAATTTTTAATGATTACAAGTAATTAAAAATGTCTGAAAATTAGAGATCGAAGCATCCTCTCAAGAAATTAGGAAAAGAACATTAGTTAATCCAAAGAAATAAGAGAGTAAATAAAGGTAATAAGAAGGAGGGAATTATGAGATAGCAGTGCACATTAAAGAAATAGAAAACATAGGATGGTTGTCTGTAAAAACCAGTAAAGGAGATTCTCACCCATATTAGGGACAACGATTATACTTAAATAACCCATCTCAAGAACCTGTCATTAAAAGCAGCATTTAAAGTATCAGCACTGCAGATCCTATGGACACTAAAAGTTAATAGAGTATTTTATAAACAGCTGCATAAAAACTACATGACAGTAAAAACTTGAAAAATTTCATAAATCAGAGCAGATTTCTAGAAAAGGAAATCTTATCAGAATTGACACATAAAGAGCTAGAAAATCAACATAACGTCATATCAAAGAAATGTAATCTATAATTAAAGCCTCCTTCATCAGAAAATAAATATACAAATAAATAAATTTGAAACGATTCTGCTTCCCTAAAGAGTTACAGCCTCGAAACCCTATACAAGGTTGCTATGAGTCACAACAGACACAACAGCACAGAGCAACTGCAGTAACAATAATGATTTTAAGGGTCCTTAACTTA